GTCTGAAATTCACATTGTAGGTGCATTCCACTCTGAGAGACAGAATTAAAAAACAAAATTCAGGAAATCACATTGTATGATTTTTTTTAAAGAATTTATTGCACTGCTGAACATAAGTATTTGAACACCTAAGAAACAGCAAGAATTCTGGCTCTTAAAGACCTGTTACTGTGCCTTTAAAAAGTCCACCTCTACTCCACTAATTAATCTAACTTAGTAGCACCTGTCTGAGCTCTTTAAAGACACCTGTCCACCCCACAGTCAGTCAGACGCCAACTACTATCATGGGCAAGACCAAAGAGCTGTCAAAAGACACCAGAGACAAAATTGTGGACCTCCACAAGGCTGGAAAGGGCTACAGGGCAATTGCAAAGCAGCTTGGTGAAAATAGATCAACTGTTGGAGCAATTGTTAGAAAATGGAAGAGGCTAAAGATGACTGTCAGTCTCCCTCGGACTGGGCCTCCATGCAAGATCTCTCGTGGGGTATCACTGATGATAAGAAAGGTGAGGAATCAGCCCAGAACTACAAGGGAGGAGCTGGTCAAAGGGAGAGCTGGGACCACAGTTTCAAAGGTCACTGTCGGTAGAACACTACGCCGTCATGGTTTCAAATCATGCATGGCACAGAAGGTTCCCCTGCTCAAGTCATCACATGTCCAGGCCCGTCTGAAGTTTGTCAATGACCATCTGGATGATCCAGAGGAGGCATGGGAGAAAGTCATGTGGTCAGATGAGACCAAAGTAGAACTTTTTGGTCGAAACTTCACTCGTCGTGTTTGGAGGAAAAAGAAGGATGAGTTGCATCCCAAGAACAACCATCCCTACTGTGAAGCATGGGGGTGGTAACATCATGCTTTGGGGGTGCTTTTCTGCAAAGGGGACAGGACAACTGCACTGTATTAAGGAGAGGATGAATGGGGCAATTTATTGTGAGATTTTGAGCAACAACCTCCTTCCCTCAGTCAGAGCATTGAAGATGGGTCGTGGCTGTGTCTTCCAACATGACAACAACCCAAAGCACACAACCAGGATAACCAAGGAGTGGCTCCGTAAGAAGCATATCAAGGTTCTGGAGTGGCCTAGCCAGTCTCCAGACCTAAATCCAATAGAACATCTTTGGAGGGAGCTGAAACTCCGTGTTGCTCAGCAACAGCCCCGAAACCTGACAGATCTAGAGGAGATCTGTGTGGAGGAGTGGGCCACAATCCCTGTTGCAGTGTGTGCAAACCTGGTCAAGAACTACAGGAAACGTTTGACCTCTGTAATTGCAAACAAAGGCTTCTGTACCAAATATTAACACTGATTTTCTCAGGTGTTCAAATACTTATGTTCAGCAGTGCAAGAAAAATAAATTCTTTAAAAATCATACAATGTGATTTCCTGAATTTTTTTTTAAATTCTGTCTCTCAGAGTGGGAATGCACCTACAATGTGAATTTCAGACCCCTCCATGATTTCTAAGTGGGAGAACTTACAAAATCGCAGGGTGTTCAAATACTTCTGTTCCTCACTGTATATAATCGTGGACCTTTGTGGTAATTTGCATTGCAGATGGGACTCTGATGGATGACTTTATCATTCTCAACATTATTGTAATATTACTACACTGGCAGAATCTGCCCCGTTGGCCCCTTTTCTGCATATAGCAAGGTCAGTATTTATTTCGCTATGTATATTTAAATGCCACTTATAATATTCTGTGACATCTTAATGATGAAACACTCTATATTTCATCAAATTGTCCTTTTTGGGGCCTTTCCAGATACTACAAACACTAATTATAAATAAACTGACATATGTTCCTTATGTGGATCCCAACTGGAGACTTGACTATACTTCCTCCACATACTTCATGTGATTGAATGTCTTTTAAGTGGCTTTGTAGCTTCGAAATTGGGGTTATCAATATACCTTCCTTGGTTGGAAGGTTAGTACAATTTCTACCATCAACAATCTTTTATTATCTGGGAAAGCTCTCTTATGCTTTAATAGCTGTATATTTTATATATATATATAGAAGCCTTCTTTAAGACTGTCCACGACAAGGTCTATTCTTTTGGGATCCCCCTGTCGACTCGCCTGGGTTGTGGGTTAACCCCTGCTATGATGCCTGTGGTTTAAGGTATATTCAGAATATGTTTAATGATGGATGATGGACAATACAACATGCTATGTTATATCTATACTCACTTTTCTCCTATGTAGTAACTCCTGAAGAAGCGATACTCTCACGAAACATGTTGAGTCACTATGGTTATTGACATCTGATTCATGTTCCTTGACACCCTTACCGGGATATGGTATATTTGTATGGATCAAGATTTTATGTATCTACGAGATTTGTAACTGCATAGAATGTACCACCCCAATGGGGGTCTTACATTCTTAGCAGATGTTTTTTATGTACTGTTGCGTAATTGTGTACATTCAAATAAAGAAATGTTTTTAATGAATATTGTTGCAGTGCCTTTAAAGTCCAAACTTCTGGCCTTCTTCCTTTGGTCGATTTATACTCATCTTCAAATGTCCCTGAATGGCGTAATGATATAGCCAGCACCTGACTACATCACTGTGTGAGAAAAATGTCATAAAGACAAAGGGCAATTCGATATTGCCTTCTCAAAAAACATGAGTGATATATCTATATTGAGTATTGTAGCAGTGCTATGAAATGATAGGGCACATGAACAATATACCATCTTTGTCTTTAGTTTGTAAGCAGTTAACTGCAGTTGATGAGAGAGAATGGAATAAGTGTTAGTAGTTTTTGTGAATAGTGTACAAAAGCCAGATGTGACATCACCCTTTACAAGTACTGTAGAGTATTTTATTGTGATAGGGAGTTACCCTGGCACATGTTTCCTTCTCATAAAGACATTGTGCCCATTAAATAAGGCAGGATGCCCATTCTCAGTTAACTACGGAAATTAGAAACTCGTTCAGTTACAAGTTATTCATGTTTAGGTTGCTGTTGGGTTTTACAAGAACAATCACAGAGAAGCAGACTCTTCATCAAGAATAAAGATGACTACACATACGTTTGGCTATTAAAGGCTGCATTTACCTTTTGAATAAAATGCAGTCAAGGGGTCACAGAAGGTTAAAATAAAGTTTTACGGCCAGTTCACACTATAGAAACACAGTCCAGATGCATTCCAGATGCATTTCTGCATGCGCATTTGTTATGCGTTTTTGGCACATTCCAGTGTTTTTGATATGTTTTTTATGCATTCCGGTGCATTTTTGATGCTTTCCGGTTCATTTTTCCCCCCTCTCTTTTTCTTCAATTTAAATAGGGAGATATGCATTCCAGCATGTTCCAGTGCATTTTTGTGCATTTTCGTGTGCTCCTGTGTGTTCCATTCCGTTCTGGTGCATTTTTGATGCTTCGTACAGTGTTCCAGTACAGTTCTGTGCAGGAAAAATGCAGCCTGTTCTACTTTTTTATCTGCAACAGGAACGCACTGGAGCTGCAAGCGCTGATGTGAACTATGACATTGACAATCATAGAACCTACTTTCTGTGCGTTTTGGATGCAGAAAAAAAACCTTAAGGTGACCTGTGAGGGAGCATCTGATCAGGCACAGGATTCTCTAATCCATTCTCAGATCATGTTAAAAGCAGTGTAATCAATGAAGGAACTTTTCTCAGTGGAGGAGGAAGGATATGGTGTGTCCAACAGATTATCCCTACTGCTGTTCTTCCTGAAGACCTGAAGCTATTAACCATTGAGGTGGCAGAAGTTCAGAGACAGGAAGAAGACAGACATCCCTGCAGTGAAGATTTCTCCAAAATCAAGCTGCCTGCGCAATGTGGGACAGCCTTTATTATAGGTAAGTGATGTGACTAAAGCTGTAGGGATTTTTTCTCTGTAGTTATACTTTCAGCTTTTATTTATTGCAGTTTACCAGTTCTTAAATGTGGTGGCTGCATTAGCTTTCCTTTTCCTTCATTTGCACCTGATAATTCTGCAAATAACACAAGTCCTGTCCCTTCAAATCACAATCTGGATTTTTAAAGATGTCTACCTTTGTTCATCTTCATTATGTGGTGGATTGATGTGAATACTAGTCTACACAGCAAAAATAAGGATGTTTGTGCTTGCTTTTTAGCTCACAAAGTGACTAAGACTCTGAATTTCTGTCAAAATAAAGAGGATACCACCTGCATTTCGTACACTAGATGAGAATATTAGTCCTCTGACAAAAAAGATGTTAAGTGTATGTTTCAGGGCTCCAGGGTATGACCAGAGGTGTGTGGACTGAAGCAGGGAAACGCAGGCTTCAGATATGTTATAAACAATATAATTTATTAACACTAACAATACATAAACGCAGTGCAATACTAAAACATAACAGTGCAAACGAACCAAACCAAACCACCCACAGATAACAATACATACAAAGCAAGCGTCGTCAGGCAGGCCGGGTCAATAACAATCGGGCAGGTAGGAACAGGAGGAGCAGGCAGAGAGTAGTCAGGTCACGAGCCATACAGCAACTAACGGGCAGGTAGGTACAGGGGGTCAGGGAGAGAATGGTCGGGGTCACAAGCCAGGGATCAAACAGGAGAAGTCAGCAGAGGTCCGGATCAGGCAGGGTCAGCAACGAATCAGTCAGACAGGGACAGGAACAGGGACAAGGACAGGGATGCAGGTAACAAGATACAGGGGCCCAGGAAAAACACACACCATGGCGCAGACTGCAGGTCTGGCCATCCCTTAAATACACCTGCATAATCAGCTTCAGGTGTTTGGCTGGCTGCAGGGTTGAGTCTCTGATTGCTGGGAGCACCCGCTGGCCAGCCCTGGTACTGCAGCCCACAAGGCAGGTGAGTCCCACCATTACTGGCAAGTCCATTCCTGACAGTACCCCCCCCTCAAGGAGCGGCCTCAGGACGCTCCAAACAGTCCTAGCTGGGCAAAATGTTCCACCGTCCGGGTCTGGTAACTGGGTCAGCGGCACATCGGGCTGGACTCCGGGCAGCGGCACATCGGGCTGGACTCCGGGCAGCGGCACATCGGGCTGGACTCCGGGCAGCGGCACATCGGGCTGGACTCCGGGCAGCGGCACATCGGGCTGGACTCCGGGCAGCGGGACATCGGGCTGGACTCCGGGCAGCGGCACATCGAGCTGGACTCCGGGCAGCGGCACATCGAGCTGGACTCCGGGCAGAGGCACATCGAGCTGGACTCCGGGCAGAGGCACAACGAGCTGGACTCCGGGCAGAGGCACAACGAGCTGGACACCGGATCACCAGGCGGAGCAGCAGGCACGGGGCCACCAGGCGGAGCAGCAGGCCCTGGGCCACCAGGCGGAGCAGCAGGCCCTGGGCCACCAGGCGGAGCAGCAGGCCCCGGGCCACCAGGCGGAGCGGCGGGCGCCGGGCCCCCAGGCGGAGCGGCAGGCACCGGGCCCTCAGGCGCAGCGGCAGGCACCGGGCCCCCAGGAGGGGCGGCAGGCACCAGGTCATCAGGCACGACAACGGGCATCAGGTCACCAGGCATCAGGTCATTTGGCTCACCAGTGGGCACCGAGTCACCAGGCACGACAGTGGGTTCCAAGTCAACTGGCATGACCACGGGCACTGGGTCAGACATTGGATCGTCTGGCTCGACAGCGGGAATCGGGTCACCAGGCATCAGGTCTATTGGCTCGACGGCGGGCACCGCGTCATCTGGCAAGGCAGTGGGCACCGAGTCACCAGGCACGACAGTGGGCTCCGAGTCAATTGGCACGACAGCGGGCACCGGGTCATCAGGTACCGGATCGTCTGGATCGACAGCGGGCACCGGGTCATCTGGTGTTGGATCGTCTGGCTCGACAGCGGCAGCGGGCATCGGGTCACCAGGCATCAGGTCATTTGGCTCGACGGCGAGCACCGCGTCATCTGGCAAGGCAGTGGGCACCGAGTCACCAGGCACGACAGTGGGGCTCCGAGTCAATTGGCACGACAGCGGGCACCGGGTCATCAGGTACCGGATCGTCTGGATCGACAGCGGGCACCGGGTCATCTGGCGTTGGATAGTCTGGCTCGACAGCGGGCATCGGGTAACCAGGCATGACAGCGGGCACTGGGTCACCAGGCATCAGGTCATTTGGCTCGCCAGCGGGCACTGCGTCATCTGGCAAGGCAGTGGGCACCGAGTCACCAGGCACGACAGTGGGCTCCGAGTCAACTGGCATGACCGCGGGCACTGGGTCAGACATTGGATCGTCTGGCCCGACAGCGGGCATCGGGTCACCAGGCATGACAGGGGGCACTGGGTCATCAGGCATGGGATTGTCTGGCTCGACAGCGGGCATTGGGTCACCAGGCATGACAGCGGGCACTGGGTCACCAGGCATCAGGTCATTTGGCTCGCCAGCGGGCACCGCGTCATCTGGCAAGGCAGTGGGCACCGAGTCACTAGGCATGACAGTGGGCTCCGAGTCAACTGGCATGACCATGGGCACTGGGTCAGACATTGGATCGTCTGGCCCGACAGCGGGCATCGGGTCACCAGGGCATGACAGCGGGCACTGGGTCATCAGGTACCGGATCGTCTGGATCGACAGCGGGCATCGAGTCAACTGGCCTAATGGAATCATCAGGCTGGATCAGTTCATCAGGCTGGGTAGAAACATCATGCTGGGTAGAGGCATCAGGCTGAATTGTGGGCGCCGAGGCACCAGGCTGCACCACGGAAGGCAGGTTCTCAGATGGGAGGCTGACCGGTTTGGATACTGGCAGGATGGTATTGGTTGGAAAGAACTTTCACCTTTTCCTGGTTTTAGTTACCGGAGCACTGTAAGTAAGCGCAGGTTTGTAAACGGATGGAGCAGCTGGAGACAGAGAAGAGCTGGAGGATGGAACAGGGGAGGGAACAGTTGCTACAGAGGGCTTCTTTACAGGGTTAAAGGCAGGATAGGTGCAGCGAGTGGGAACAGGGTACTGACATGCGGTAGATAGCAGGGTATACTGGGCTGTAACTGGAGGTGCTGTTGGGAATGCAGGAATAGAGCTTTGAAGAAATAGATTAGAAGCAGGACTGGGTTTTTGCAAGCTGACTGAGGCTGGGTGCAACAAATCTGACCATGTCTGCAGTATGGGTTGAACAAAGCTCAGCTTACACAAAGCCTGTCTGGTCAAAGACTGCACTGCGTTTATACAATCCCTTAATACCTGTGGTGAACATGCAGCATAATGTTCCAAGAAGCAATCCACATCATCCTCCAATAACCATACCAGGGACTCTACCTGGTCTGCACTAAATGGTGGCAAAAAGTCATTCCTGCTTTCAGGGGTACCAGATGAAGCCAACTCTACACAAACCTGAATCAAAGGTTGCACCTCAGAGAACTCTGTGCCCTGATCTACTAGAACATGAGCGATCCGTATACATTCTAGCAGTTGATCCCGGGGATACTCCCCCAGAGTCTGATAAGCATATTCTCTGTCATCAAAAACCAGCAGCGACAAATACACAACCTCATCAAGATCCATCCTTTACAGCAACAAGCCAAGATGGCTTCCCTGTGCAGCCACTTCTGGTCAGGATTGGCCTTGGTGTAATGTCAGGGCTCCAGGGTATGACCAGAGGTGTGTGGACTGACGCAGGGAAACGCAGGCTTCAGATATGTTATAAACAATATAATTTTTTTATTAACACTAACAATACATAAATGCAGTGCAATACTAAAACATAACAGTGCAAACGAACCAAACCAAACCACCCACAGATAACAATACATACAATGCAAGCGTCGTCAGGCAGGCCGGGTCAATAACAATCGGGCAGGTAGGAACAGGAGGAGCAGGCAGAGAGTAGTCAGGTCACGAGCCGGGTACAGCAACTAACGGGCAGGTAGGTACAGGGGGTCAGGCAGAGAATGGTCGGGGTCACAAACCAGGGATCAAACAGGAGAAGTCAGCAGAGGTCCGGATCAGGCAGGGTCAGCAATGAATCAGTCAGACAGGGACAGGGACAGGTAACAAGATACAGGGGCCCAGGAAAAACACACACCAAGGCCCAGACTGCAGGTCTGGCCATCCCTTAAATATACCTGCATAATCAGCTTCAGGTGTTTGGCTGGCTGCAGGGTTGAGTCTCTGATTGCTGGGAGCACCCGCTGGCCAGCCCTGGTACTGCAGCCCACAAGGCAGGTGAGTCCCACCATTACTGGCAAGTCCATTCCTGACAGTATGGGATAGAATTTATAAGCAGAAAGGATGGAAATATAATTCCGTTCTGACTCCTTTGGCGGGTACGGAGTATTTCCCCCAAGGGAAGGATACAACCTCTGGTAAAAAGATAAAAATGCACGTTTGAAAGATATCTTGCATAAGGGAAAATTACACACATACCAAGAGTTAAAGGGAATTTTTTTTTATTTTTTACATTAGATGAGTGCTGGTATGGACAATTGGGGCATTTTGTATCATCATTCCCTCAACCACTGAGGACCTCGGAGGATATGTACCAATTTGAAAAACTATTGAATGTTAATACAGTTCCAAAACAAGCCACCTCCAGGATATATATGATCCTGATAGATATGGAGGGAGTTGATCCTCCTGGGTTCTTGGAAAATTGGGAAAGGGAGCTTGGAACCGAATTGAATGAGCAACAAAGGAATAAAATATTTAAATTAACACATGGGGTGATAAATATGAGCACAGTAGAAATGAATTACAAATGTTTGACAAGATGGTATATTACACAGAGTGTAGCACATAAACAGCAAGTGGATGTTTCACCTTTATGTTGGAGAGGTTGTGGGAAAAAGGGAACAATGGCACATATATGGTGGGATTGCCAGAAAATACAGGATTTTTGGAAGGAAATAATTCACTGTATCCAGGAAATTAGTGGGATTACTATACAAAAGGACCCATGGATGTGTTTATTTTACTCTGAGCTTGTAGGTAGACAGTATAAAAACAAGTTATTATATCATTTAATTAGTGCGGCTAAGGGCCTAATCCCCAAGTTTTGGCAAGTCCTGGAGCCACCAAGAATAAATGATTGGCTAAATATAGCGGATAATATTTTCAGGATGGAGCAGTTGTGTCATTTGGATGAGGGCAATATGGAAGAATTTAGGAAAATGTAGAGTAGTTGGTTAGACTTTAATCATCTAAAAGATACTTGGAACTGGTCTGGAGCTTAGGGGGGGAAAGTTTGGAGAGAGCCTGACGGAGAACCCGAAAGCAAAAGATGCCTAATGAGAGGGATGGGGACATAGATATGGACATATAATGTATAAGGGGAGTAAGAATTTAGTTAATTAGATCTGGACAGAGGTATTTTTTTTTGGGGGGGGGGGGGTAGTGGGAGGATGGGAGGAGTGGGGGATGAGATGTTGTAAAAGAGACTTATGTACTTGTGAATGTGATGTATTTTGGGTTGTCACATTTTTTACACTGCAAAATTTAAATAGGAGATATAAAAGAAACAACACTGCACATCACCAAAAGAACACCATACCCACAGTGAAGCATGGTGGTGGCAGCATCATGCTTTGGGGCTGTTTTTCTTCAGCTGGAACTGGGGCCTTAGTCAAGGTAGAGGGAATTATGAACAGTTCCAAATACCAGTCAATAATGGCACAAAATCTTCAGGCTTCTGCTAGAAAGCTGAACATGAAGAGGAACTTCATCTTTCAGCATGACAACAACAGAAAGCATACATCCAATTCAACAAAGGAGTGGCTTCACCAGAAGAAGATTAAAGTTTTGGAATGGCCCAGCCAGAGCACAGACCTGAATCCGATTGAAAATCTGTGGGGTGATCTGAGGAGGGCTGTGCACAGGAGATGCCCTCACAATCTGACAGATTTGGAGTGTTTTTGCAAGTCAAGATGCTCCATTCTGATAGACTCATACCCAAAAAGAGTGCTGTAATAAAATCAAAGGTGCTTCAACAAAGTATTAGTTTAAGGGTGTGCACACTTTTCCAACCATATTTTAGTTTTTTATTTTTACTTCCCTCCACCTAAGTTGTACAGTATATAGGTTACATTGAATGTGGAAAAAGTTCTGAAATGATTTATCTTTGTCTCAATTTTTTACATCACAGAAACATGACATTTTAACAGGGATGTGTAGACTTTTTATATTCACTGTATATCATACACTTATATGTAGTGCAATCAAAATACAAAACCGTAAATAACAAAAAAGAAGCAAAACAAAACAAAAAAAATGTTGAATCCTCAAATTTATATCCCAGATGTCTGTAAATTAATCATTCACCAGTGTGCATTGATCTTAACCAGTTATGGTCTGCCCTATAGCAGATTTAGTGCTACCGGGCATACTTTCTGCACAAAATCACGTATATAAAAATGTGTGTTCCCAATCTGTGGTCAAGCATGTGCACCTGGCGGCACTATGATTCGGTACAGAGCTCATCCTGTATCTGTGATTACAGAACATAGGCACAGGAAATGATGTAATCTTCTCTATCTGGAGCACATTGTGTTCCAGAGAGAGAAGAAAGCATATCTATGCGAGTAGAAGCACTACACTGACCAAAAACACATTTTAACCACCAGATCACTCCCCCCAGTTAACCCTTTCACTGTCCTATCACCAGTGTCATTAGTACAGTATACAGATTTCTTTACTACTCGCTGTATCAGTGTCACAGGCAACTTCAGAGAGCATTAGCGTCATTTAGTATTCCTCCCAGCTAGTGTTAGATTGCCCACCAGTCACAGGTTCACAGTAGATTACTGTTGATACATTACATACAGAACTGCAACATTACCTTTGTAAAGCACTGAGCAAACTGTTGGTGCTATATAAATCCTGTATAATAATAATAACAAGATCAGGCCAGATCTCTGCTAGCACTAGCAGGTACATTTTTTTGGAGCGATTCAAGCAGTCCCTGACAGCCAGGTGCTCTTTTTCCTGTGAGTCACACTAGGTACCTA